GGAGGGGGCCGCTGGGCGCCCCGGGTGTTTGGCCGTTGCAGACAGCGGTTGCCCCGCTCGGGCTGGGGCTTCCAGTTTGCACCCCCTCCCGTGCAGCCACGTACGAAAACTGCCCCAACCCGGTCCCCAGGCACCTTCCTCTGACTTCTGGAAAGAGCTGCAGCTGGCCCTGCCTCGGAAGGTGCAGTACAGGCCCGTGGAGGGAGACCCCCAGACCCAGCTACAGGATGACAAGGACCCCATGCTGACTGTTCGAGGCCGTGTCCGCGAGGGCCAGGCCCCGGACCCGGAGCTGGACCCTGACCCCGAGGGAGACCTGGGTACGTCCACCGGCCCCACGCCGGACCCGAGGAGCTCTGGGGGCGGAGGGGGCAGCAGCAGGCCTAGAAGGGGCCCCAGGCGTCAAGGCCTCTTCCCGGCATTGAGGGTCCCTGCGCGGCCTCCCTCGCCTGGAGGTGCTCAGGCCCACGGCCTGCCTGGAAACTTCCTGGACCTCACAGGCCACTAGGGCCGGGCTGAGCAGGGCCTGACCCCTGACCGCAGGTCCTGGCGGAAGGCTTGAGCACCCCAGCCTCAGGCCTCTCCGTACCCTCCCCAGGCGTCCGAGGGCCCGTCTTTGGGGAGCCGCCAGCTCTGTCGCACACGAGTGGGGTCTCACTGGGAGAGGCCCGGGGCAGCGAGATGGACGTCTCAGACCTTGGCTCTCGAAACTACAGTGCCCGCACAGACTTCTACTGCTTGGTGTCTGAGGACGACGTGTAGCCCCCACCCCGGAGTGGAGGACCACCAGAGACATCTGGGGTCAGGTGGGCTGCTTCTTCACTCAGCAGGACCAGGACCCCCGCCTGTATCCCTGGGACCTTCTAGGGGTGGGTGTGACCCCAGGACCTCTCCTAGTGCCAGGAAATAAAGTCCTTTTGGATGTGCCGGGACCGTGTTCTCTCCTGGGACAGAAGCGGGGCTGCTGCTGCCTGGAGCGCTCCGTCAAGTCACCGAGTCTACCCTCTCCACCCTCCTTTTCCTGAGCTAGCTCAGGCGTGTCCCTTGCAGTGGGGGCTCCCTGCCCGGTCCCTGGCTGGGGGTGTGGCTGTCCCCAGGCCCCCCAATGTGGACAGATACTGGAGGCGCCTTAGAGACCTCAAGTTCTGAGCTTCACAGCAGCTTTCTGTTGTAAAAGTATCAACAGCCCTATCACAACCAAATGGCCTGACTGTGGGGATGTCCCAGAGCCTACTGAACCCAAGCTTCGGGCAGCCGTGTGAGGCCCCTGGTCAGAGCTTCCTGGTGCCAGCCCAGGGTGGGCAGAGAGGGAGGGCGATGCATTTATGGCAGAAGCCCATGGGGCTGCCCCTCGTCTGGCCACACTCTCTGCTCACGAGGCCTCAGCCCTGCTGCATCTGGGCCTGTGAGGCTCCCGGGCTGCCTCTGCTCTCCTCCCCACCCTCGGCCCCTCCGCTGGACATGCCTTCCTCCCTGTCCCGGGTCCGCTGACCTGGGAGGCTTGTTTGTGAGCCCAGGGGCTGTGTCCTCAGGGGCGGGTGGGTGTGCCTGGGGACACCACAAGTCCCAGAATTGGCCGTCTTGGGCCGGCCGCTGGCTCAGGGTGGTGCCCGCCATGGAGGCACGCAGGCGTGGTGTGTCCACAGCCCTCTTTATTCCTGGTGCTGGCTGTCCCGAGGCGCCGCCGGGCCACGGCCAGTCCCACCTCTGCCCATGTGACCAGGTCACCCCACCACTCACCAGAGCAGCTCAAGCCCTGCCCCACACCCTGCCCTGCGGAAGCCAAGTCCCCAGCTGTAAGCCCCCTGCCCTCCCGGTGGCCCAGGCCTCTCGAAGGTGCACACAGAGCCCCAGCGGGAGGCCCCTCGGCTGCCAGCCGCCTCCTCCAGGCCGGGCTGTCGAGCGCCCGGAGCTGAGTCTGTCCTTCGGACGCTGGACCACGTCCCCTTCTCCAGGAAGCCTTGCCTATGGGCCTAGGAAGTCCTCCTTCCGGTAGCCCTTCTGC